CTTAATTATTGGTCATATTTCTGATTATTCCAGGTTAAATATTTAGGTAAGATAAGAACAAAACAATTCTCTTATAGATAAAAAAACCAAGATAACCGGTGTTGCTTCACTTGTTTATCTGTGACATCCTGGAATTCTGTGATTTGCCAACTTTCACTAGCAATGTATGAGAGCAAAACTAGAGATGGAGGAAGGTGAAATAGGAATACATAGGCTTAGAAGGGGAGATAAAAAACAGCTATTGAATTTAGTAGCAATAATACAGTTGCTTCTTTGGGGAAATTTAGTAGCCCTGACACATATTCCAGTTGAATGTTTCATCTGAAGAAGCAGTCAAGTTACCCACAGTAGGTCCAAAGTGGGGGAAAAAGGCATAACTCAAATAAAATAAATACTGCTTTAGGTTTATGGGAAGGGAAAAAAAAGATATGATAAAAGAACATAAAACAGATTAAAATGTTCAACTTCTAAATATTCTTTTCCTTGATTCTTATATTGTAGGCCAAAGGACCATTTTATTGAATACAAAGAAAATATGTAGTTTATAATTGATAATTAGCCATATACCAAATTGACAAACAAGTGACAAATCAATGTTTGATTTTCATTAACAAAGAATAATAACGATGATAATTATAACAACAATACTAATTTATTCACTGAACACCTGCTAGGAGCAAAGCACTGACTACACTGAGTACTCTGTAGACTTTTCTACAGCACTAGAGATAATAAGAAATCAGAAAAGAAGGTAGGCATTTTGGTTAAGAATAATAATACAGACATTCTAAGTTTTTTCTTTTAATTTGTAAAAGAAAAAATCATTTAAATGTAGTTGACAAGAGTCTTTTGCCTTTTAAATTACTACCAAAATATTTAAATATCAATCTCATCTCTGTCATTTTTCCAACAGAAACACATTGCTTGACATCACAAATTAAAATTTGTTGCTTTAGAATTTGAGAAGACTTTTTCTTAACAGAAAGAAAGAACAGATTATGGTCCAATCTAATTTGATCCAATTTTTCTTATGAACTTACAGAAGGATGAGAAGAGATGGAATGAAGTCTGAAGAAAAAACGCACATACATCTCACGGAATATTTGATACAATTTGGAAGGTTCATGGTACAGAAAACAAAGTGGTGCAACTGAAATAAAAAAATTTATTTATAATATTGCAGAACTACTAAAATTTTGAGATAAATTTGTAAAATATGACATAATAAATCACGATTTTATAGTAATCATACACACTCATAGACAAGTTTAAAATCATACTTTTTTTTCATTTGGAGAGGAGAACATATGCACATGTAAAGTTCAAAGAGCCACTAAACATTTGATTCTAGAAAGTAGTATATTACAAACTACTATAATCCCAATTTAACAGATGGCTAACATGACATTATGGAATTATACAGAAATATGAAACATTCCAAGTAACTTATAAAAACTAGATATGTCAAGTCTCTCCTTTCTAAAATTTAAGTATTAAGAAAATAACAATCAGGTAGCTCGTTTTTACTTTCGCTCACAAAGGATTCAAGCTACATTTCAAAATTTTCAATTTTGGAAGTCAGGTAAGTAAAATAAATGATTTATGACTTTTAGAATCATATATGATCTTCAATTAATTCAATTTGAAAATAAAGATTTTAGTAATAGCTGTACACTGGTCTTTATTGCTATATCCCCACATATATTCATCAACTGAAAACAATCTTTAGGCAGAGAGAACTTATTTCTCTAATGAATGTTGAATTGATTGCACCCAGTTTGTAGCAATTAAGCACAGCTGGGTCAACTCAACCAGACATCCCACAGTTGAATGTCAGAAAGTCCTAATCTTGGATTGGAGGTCTACCTGAGCATGTGATTATTCTACACTGAGAAAGGTGGTCATGCTTTCCATCTTTTTAAGCCTCAAGTGTTTTAGGTAGCACAGAGACAAATTTATAATGCAGATACATACAACTGTGTTACCTAAATATTAATTTTAATTAAAAATGCCTTACAAGGTAATTTCAAACTATGTGTATTGTACAAGTAAGAATTTCTGGGGCGCTATAATCTGTTGGTCATGCTGTGAGGGCAGTAAGCAAAAAGTAAGCAAGGAAATCAGTAGGCCAGTTTAGCTCTCTTCTTTTTGACAAAGTAAAAAAGGAAAAATAATAAAATATTTTAAATGCTTTCAAAGACAAAGGTTCAATTTTCTGGGATAAAGGGCAATGCACAGTACTACTGTTGAATAAGTCATTAAAAATAAGCATTGTAAGTGAGAAATTTTAGTTTTTCCAAAGGGCAAAAGAGAAATCAGTCTTGGGGGTAAATATCTAAGTATATATAAAAGTAACTACTTATATATATAAAGAAAAACATATATACAATATGTAGCATATATAAAATTTTAAAAATACATGCATGTCTATTTCAAAACTAATTTTTAAAATTTATTTTATTATGAAATAAATTACTACTTATAAAAATAGCCCAAATTAGGATATTACATATATTTACAAATAGTAACTCATGCTCTAACTGCAACAATAACCTAAGAAAAAACAGTGTGGTACAAATATATGTCAATATTATAAATCTAAGATGAAGGTTTAGAATTTATTTTCTTTTAAAACATGATGCATTTCTTTCCTCTAATTTTTAGTTGTTATGTGAAAACCTATAATCTGAATCTGAAGATCTTATGGATTCAATATTCCTAATGAAAATTTCCGGTGAATAAATAAAAAGAGAATTTTAAAATAAGCAATTTTCTACAAATATATACACTATAAAATAAATTTACAATTAGTTTTTGTTCAAGATACCACAATTGTTTACATTGAATTCCCTTTTATAGCTATAAAACGGAAAAGTTTTAGTCACTATAGACTTTATGTAAAAAAGATTCTACATGACTTAGTTTTTAATTTTAAGCATCTTTCCCTATTTAGTTCTTCCATAAAAATAAATTTAGCTAATTATCTTTTAAACCAATTAAAGACTATACTGTAGGAATTTATTTATGAACCATAATATACTATACACCTACAATAAAACTTCAGTATTTCGCATAAATAGAAGAGTAGAAGGTATTTTAAATTAGAGTTCCTGAGTAAATTTTTAAATAAATTACTATCATTTTGGTTTCCTTTTTAATGACAGCCTATCATTAAAGATCTGTATCAATGTTTAAAAGAGACAAGTATTATAATTAAAAAAATATATAGTCACTAAAACTGAAGTGGCAAAGTACTAACTAGAGTTCCTTAGGGATGATTTGTGATTATTCTTGTATACTGGTTCTAAATAAGTGGTTGCTGGTAAAGTTTTTGTGGATGCTTAAGATAGTTTCCTAAAATAGTATAAATAAATTCTATATCAAACATTTTGCATCATTGTTAACAAATGCTTTCCCCTTGGGTGTATAAACTGTAGCCTATTTAAATGACCATAAATATGAATAGGCAGAGGCTGAGTCAATGATATATTTTAAATACCAGAAGATCTTTCTAGAAGATTTAAACTTTCATGACATCAAGTACCCTCCAAATCATTAAAGTACAAGTTCTAAAAATGATTTACTTGAAAAATTCTTGCAGTTGTAACTATTAAAGTAGAAAGATAAAAAGGTGAACATTTTTATTAGATGTAAAAATTTGTATTATTAATCTTTTTTGGTTTTCTATTTTAAATTCCTCACATTTATAAGAGAAATATGCTGTAAGATCACTGTAACATTATGTGTTATATTATGAAATTGTGCTTGCCCAAAAGAATAAAGCTGAGTATCCTATAATTCGAGCCTGTAACTAACACCAAATATAGTATAAAGTCCCTAGGTACTTTGAATTTCTTTCATTGAATGATAGTTTTATATTATGTAATTCAACATGACCATCTGATGTTGAACACTGAGGTTTTTTAATAAATAAAAGTGTTTATTGCAGATTCTTGGCACAAAGGCAAAACATAAATGTTTTTCTACCATTAAGGTAGAGTGTAGAAATAAAGGGGACAACAATTTTTAACACTTTATATGTAACACTTATAAATTTAAAAATTAAGTGGCATTAAGATGTAGAGAGTTCTTCCTTTTGCTAACTTTCATAAGTTTCTTGCATTCCTCACTTAATGACACAGGAGGCCCGGGAGGCACTAAGAGCTCTCAAGCCTGCACATGCATCTTCCACGTGCACCTCAGGTGACTGAATGCTCTGATGTAACTGTTGTGCATATCAGTAGCCTGGAGAAATCATGAGCTCAAACTCAGTGTTGTCCCTTCCTTAGGATTCTTTCTCACTTATTATTTTTTAAAAACTCTTGTGAGAATTACTTTAGGAATTTAAACAATCTGATTGTATACCTATTAGAACTGAATATTAATGTGTATCTCTAGTTTCCATTGGACTAAAAAATGATAAACCATAGGACCATTTTCACAGCATGTTCTAATTCTAATTTGTCAAGCAATCATCACCTAACCAATTACGGTTTTATTTTAAAAATTTTAAAATTGGACACATAAAAATACTAAACTCAACATTTTATTTTATTGTTTAGAGATAGGGTCTCGCTATGTTGACCAGGCTGGTCTTGAACTCCTGGCCTCAAGTGATCTTCCCATCTCAGCTTCCCAAAATGTTGGGATTACAAGCATGAGCCACCACTCCTGGCCTACTAAACTCAACATTTTAAAATGTTCATAATAACTTGTGGGTGATTAGAAATAAAGTGGTGTTCTTTTTAATTTTCTAATATGTAATAAAAACATTATTTTTTAAAAATTAAGCCCCTATGGGAAGCTAGCGTGCATTTTACTTTACTTTTTCCTTTATTGTCTTACTACAATAAAACAATTATATTTGTCAGTCATTTTTTTAAATTTACAGATAACATTGTATGTTTTTATGGTATACATCATGATGTTTTTAAAGCCCAACTTACCATACATTGAAAATCCATGAAAAGGGATAACACCTAAAAAAAAAAAAAGTATTTCTTTTCAATAAGTAGTAGGCCTACTGATTATTAGGTAAGCTTTACAGGATTAAAACTGAAAATATAAAGGTTTTCTTGTTGCTTCAACTTTGTTCATAAATGTGAGAAAGACTTAGTGATAGTAAACAATAAAAAGATATTTTAATAACTTCAGAAAAGCAAACTAGAGGTTTTAAAACACATATCCAGTTAACATTCTATTGATCATGTTGAGAAATCAAAGCTTTGAATATATATATGTATGTGTGCGCACACACACACACAAACAGGACAAAAACATTACAAGACAGATCACAGAATTAAGTTTAAGAACTAATTATAATGGTCTCAGAAAGTCAAAAGATTATGTCCCTTCTGAAACAACTTCACTGTGTGTATTAGAATTGAATATGCTAAAAGATAAGGGCCTTTTCAAGGCACTTCTTGAAAACATTTGCTTTACAGAAAACACTATGGGTGTTAAGTAAACTAAATGAAAATTAATCATGGGATATGGCTTTAGAAGAAATATTGGCAGAAATATGATACAAATTCAGCACAATCTTTGGCAATAATTATACACAAGTAAAGTACACATCCTTTTCAAAGAAATACTCAAAGCCTAACTTGCTGTGTGGAACATCTTGTCACATTCCAAGTGAAAAATTAGAATTTGTACAGCTTAGTTCAAAACAGAAGTTTTGTAATATGTACCATCATATAGCTAACACTACTAAATCAGGTTGCAAACACGGTACAGAAGAAAGCTGCTAAGTTACTTTTTTGCAAAAATAATATAGAAATGCTCTTTATTCATCTGACATGTGCAGAGGCAAAAATGTTGTGCTGGCCAGGGCTTTAGAGGTCTTATAGAGTGAGTTCTAATGAATGAGAGTTCAGTCCCAGTTTAAAACACATCCAGTGATAGGAGGAGCATTAATTCCCAAAGCAACTCATTAGTTTTGAATGGGTTTAATTTGGAAGGAGCTATTTTCTCACAGTAAGACAAACTCTGGCTCCCTGAAATTTCTACTTATTATTCTTAGTTCTGACCACACAGATCACACAGAACAAATCTAATTTATCTTCTATGTGAAAATGTTCAGAAATATTTGAAGACATTGCTCTCTCTCCTGCCCCATCACCATCATGGTTTATTGCTCCAAGACTTTATGAGTTTCTTTAATTTTTCCTTCAATGATGTCATCTTGAACAGCTTCCCTATTTTTTTTTCTTCTGAACAAGTTACAGTTCACTGCAGTCCTTAAAGTGAGGTGACTAAAACCTATAATCATTTTCCTCCCTACAGACCCAACAGCTAAGACGGTATACTTGGACAGTTGTTTCTGGACCTCAGTAAAGGGCTATGTTTCTATCTTTATTACATTTCTTCTTTGGTGAACCACTCCAGTTGGAGATAATAATCCTAAATTCTTATTCTGTTGGCTAATGCATTCTCTTTCTCCTGGTTCTACAATACTGAAAAATTTAATAAATACACTGTGCCTCATCGAAAGCAATATAACAATGCTGAACATGACAGGGTGAAGACTAGAATTATCAGTAGACACTCCTTTCATATTGATAGCAATTAATCAGCACCCTACTGTGATAAGAGCATGGACTGGATGTAAGACAGACTTGGTTGGGTTCATCCAGTTCTGTTACTTCAGAGAGAGAGAGAGAGAGAGAGAGAGAGAGAGAGAGAGAGAGAGAGAGAGAGAGAGAGAGAGAGAGAGTGTGTGTGTGTGTGTGTGTGTGTTGTGTCTTTGCATCTCGGCTCACTGCAACCTACACCTCCTGGGTTCAAGCAATTCTTGTGCCTCAGCCTCCTAAGAAGCTAGGATTACAGGCACGTCCTACCACATCCAGCTAATAGTTTTTTAACTTCTCTAAGCTTTAGTTTGCTCATCTGTAAATCAGAGATGCTAGATAATCACATATAACATGTAGCTAAGCCATTAATAAATGAATAGTTTGGGGCCTACACTATTTAAATAGCTTAGGCTATTATTTATTAAAAAACAAATGTTAATTGTTGATGTTATGATTTACAAATTAGTTTGTACTTCTTTGTTGTTTCTAGAAGCAATTTTATCAACAACAGTATAAGAAGGCCGGGCGAGGTGGTCACGCCTGTAATCCCAGAACTTTGGGAGGCCGAGGTGGGCAGATCAGGAGGTAAGGAGATCAAGACCATCCTGGCCAACATGGTAAAATCCCAGCTCTACTAAAAATACAACAATTAGCTGGATATGGTAGGACGTGCCTGTAATCCCAGCTTCTTAGGAGGCTGAGGCACGAGAATTGCTTGAACCCAGGAGGTGTAGGTTGCAGTGAGCCGAGATCGAGCCACTGCACTCCAGTCTGGCGACAGAGTAAGGCTCTGTCTCCAAAAAAAAAAAAAAGAAAAGAAAATCCAAATTATTCTGAACTGGTATGCCAGGCCAACCATCTTGAGAATTTTGTGCAGCATTGCTTTAAGCTCACAAGTTAAAATTCTCAGGATCAACCTTTTCCCTAGTCTTCTAGCACACAGATTCATGTTCTCCAACTTTTGCTGAATCTTATGTTGCTTATCAATTTTCCTATTCATCTCTATATGATTAGCCACCCCGTTCTTTCAAAATTTCCTCACTTTTCAAGTGTTTAACACATAATTATAGACTTCACTTTTTCCTCACTAGGAGGTTGATGCCACTGACATGAACTCCTTCCTTTGTCTGTTCTTTGTATTTCATCTGTTATCTCACTCACAGTCCAGAGGAGGATGTATCCTTTTTCTTTTTCACCCAACATCTTCACATGTGCTCTAAATCTTGTTTCCTTGACTTTCACAGTGACTGACAAGCAGCGGTCAGGTTTGCAGCTTGTTTATGTGTGGCCTGTGAGCTAAGAATGACTTTTACATTTTTTAAAGGATTATTTACAAAAACAACAAAGAATAATATGGGACACAGACTGTTTGTGGCCAGCAAAACTTGAAACATTTACCATCTGACTGGTGACAGGCAAAGTCTGCCCAACCCTGCTTTGGCCTCCTGCCCCATTCACCACGCCTTTCTCCTTGCTGCACATGCGTCATTCCACACACATGTGCTGTGTCCTGCTTTGTGCCAGGGACTGTTCTAAGAACTGTAGCTGCCATTTTATTAGGGCCAAAACAACCATAATAACAATAAGTGAATACATGTCAGACAGTTATAAGTGCTATGAAGAAAAATAATGGAGGGAAGGAGGACAAGGCCAGGTGAGGGCGGAGGAGCCCTGACGTTGTGGAGGTGAGGATCACCTGAGAAGGGTGACCTGGAAGCCTTAGCTTCATGTGATGATTGTCATAAACAGGGTTACCTTTACTCAGGACAGCTGGTCTTCAGCTGGAGCGTGGTGGCATCTGCTCTTTACTCCTCTAACAAAGCAGAGTAGAGGCAAGGGGTGGGTGTATCTTATCAAAGTAATCATATCTTTAGTCTTTCCTATTTCACTGCATCCTTTCAGCCAAGGATATTACAAATATCCTTACACATAGTAAGAAGAATAAATAAGAAAGAAGAAGAAAAAATAATAAGGAAAGAAGAAGGAAGAAGAAGGAGAAGTCATCAGTTTTTTTTTCCTGGGCCCTACTTTTCTGTCAAACAAATCTCTAATCTCACTCCTTTTCTGAAAGCCAGGCTTAATCTTTTTTTTTTTTTTTTTAAACTATCTATATTCACTTCCTTTACTCTCTTACTATGTATCCTCAAATGCTTGCAAATGGTTTTCCATCCCTATGGATGGAAAACTTCTGATTGCTAAATCCAGGGGTTTCCCTTCTTTGTATGTTATACTTAATGACCTCACAGTCAAGCTTGACTCTACCGACATTGACGACACTGGGCACATCAGGATTCTTGTCCCACAGAAACTTTTGCTCTCCGTTTTTTGTGAGTGCTTGTTTTGTTTTGTTGCTGGCAGTTCCCTCTTCTGCATACTCCTTCGATATAGCTCCAAGACTCTGCACACTTGTTTTTTCTCTCACACTACCAGCATTCTCATTATTAACCCATAATACCAACTTTAAAAGCCCAGTATCCCCCCAGGCTCCTTCTGGTCTCTATTTCTGTAAATAACTCACCATCTCCCTAGTCATTCAGGGAATAAACCTTTGAGTCATCTTTGCTCTCTTGTTCTCCCTTAGCCCTTACACCTAAATGTGATTATGTACCTCTCCTGTCCCTTTTGGATAATGACCGCTTAACTCTTCCATCTTCATTCCTCCTGTGTAGCCCATAAGCACAGCTCTAATTCTGCCAAATTGATCACCACCCCTTCAAGCCTCTGGGTGCTGGACAAGGGCTGTAGGCAATGTTGTCCTCTACCTTTGGCCCTGGCCCTGCCCTACTCCTTCAAGATTTTAAACAATAATCTTCCTAGAAGGATCTCCCTGATAGCCTTGATCCCTCACCCCTAAGCAATTCATTAATCAGTCCTCTTGTTTCAGCTGATTTGGCCTGATTGATTGAGGTACTACTGCTTCTCGCTGTGCAGTTCTGACTCTGCCACTTTCTACCTGTGCACACTTAGGTATGTTACTTAACCTGCTTCCTCATCCAAAGCTGCTTTTAGACTAAGGCAGAAGGGCTTGAGCTGAGGGCCCTACTGTGGCCCTCCTCTGGCTGTACCCCTTACCCAGAACCCATTTTTCTCCCTCCAGACCATATCCCACGCACCCAGGACTCTGAAATTCTGAGCCCAAAGGCTCCTAAGACAACTTCCAGGACCTACATGTTCTCTTTGGTGGGGAAGATAAAAGAAAAGAAGGTATACACCTCCTCATACAAATGTGTACCTTAGGACAGCGAGGTGGCCAAAGGCTGGCTATTTGTGGAAGCTCTGAACAGAGATTGGACCTGCAGACTTCTGTCAATGAAGCCTTTCCAAGGTGTGAAGTGGAGCCATAGATGAGAAGTAGGGGTATATCACATGCTAGGGATGGGTGAAGAGTCTGAGAACTCTGGATTCAGACCTGGCCTTCCAGATGGTTATCAAAGTATAAGTGTTAAGGCAGGTAGAGTAGACTTTATCAGTTTATGAGTCTAATTTATAACTTATAAATATTTTGACTTATGGTAGGTGGGTCTCTATTTGTACTCCTGCTCTGGGCCTTGAAAAGGTTAAAGATAAACTTGTCTTCATCAATTAAGTAGGAACAACACCAATGAAGTGGTGAGGATTAAATATTATAAGATATGTAATATGAGTAGCACAGTATTTGATAAAAGTCAGTACTTAACTATTGTTGTATTCCTTCTCCTATCTTACTGTCTTTTAATCACTTTTTGGTTTTTTTCTCTCCCAGTAGAATAAATCCTTTGAGCATAGAAACTATTTTTTATTTATATATCTCTATCTCCAGAGACCAAGCACAGTGCCCAGAATATAACGGGTACTCATTAAATGCTTGGAGAATGAATATATGCATCTGCAGGGAGTCTACCTCTATCATTTTTTAACCTTCTATTTCCTTCCCTTCTGCCACGATCTGAATCCTGTCCCTAATAAACTCTTACCCATGGTTCTGCAAGAGCCTCCTAATTGGTATGCCTTCCTCCAAACTCTCAGTTCTCTAACCAATTTTTAAAATTGGAGAGCTCAAGTTATCTTTCAAAAATACTAATGAGACCATGAAAAAAATCTCTACATCCATTAAGAATTTTCCTCTATTTATCCATCTACTAAATATTTGCTGAGCTCCTATTCATCTAATTAACCAATATTTAAAAACCTACTCTGTAGCCTGTGGAGATATTAAAATGAATATTACATTGTCCCTGTATTTTTAGAGCTCACACTCTAGCCTTGTAATATAGGCTAAGTGTATACACAGCAAAATTTAAGACCTTTGATCTGGCCTTATACAATCATGATTATTTCCTGCAACCTGAGCTACATCTGCCTCCCCTTTGGCATACTATCCTAACTCCATACACCCTGTGGTATAGTCACACTAGACTATTTATCATCACCAGTATCATTACAGTCTGACAGCTCTGAACTTGATAATTCTGTATCCTACCCAGCCATCAAACCTTACAAAGGTCAGCTATAACCTCAGACAAACATTTTCTGATCTCTTAATCATAATTAAATGGTCATTCTTCTGCATTCTCATGGCACTTTGTTCATATTTCCAATACTATGATTTCACTGTGTTTTGTATTATAATTAACTGTTTAACAGACTGTTCCAGAGAATAGGAAGTATATTTTATTCATCTGCATATACAACTCATGGTGCCATGTACATAGTCGATGATAGATATATTTGCAGAATGAAGAGATGAGTAAATGCTGAGTACAGGAGCAGCAAGAGAAGTACTGGTCTCTAGCTAGGAGATCAAAGTTCCATTGTGGGCTTAACACGAACCAGCTGGGTAACCTTAGAAACATTATCAAACCTCCTGAGCTTCAGTAACCTGCCTGACACACAAGGGGACTAAGATTGCCTCTCACGTATCATCTAACTCTAAAATTGGATGTTTAAAATTAAGACTAGAGTAAATGTGGAAAAATTTGTGAGATTTGAAGAAAAAAGTGCCTATAAAGATTTTCTGATAGTAAGATTCTTTAACAACTTAAAGGTCCTTTGCCTTCTAGAAAGCAAAAAAATTAAAAACCAGATTAGAAGGTCAATGTTCCCAATGACACTGTAGCCACCAGCTTCAGCTCCAGGGAACACTAGAAGGAGAGCTCAACAAACATCTTTCTTCTTCAAGTCTTTCTCTATATTCTGTGGTTGAGTCTCTTTTTCTTCTTGTGAGCACCCTTCTTTCTTTACCTTCCTCCCCCCTCTGCAGTTTCATGTTATTTACTAATTATAAACTTTTAGCAAATAATTACAAAGTTTGTCTTTGTTACAGGAAACATGTTGATATGTGAAAGAAAAACTCCAAAAAGTAAGTTAATAAATAGAGGTATATTTTGATGCCTTATAAAGTGTAAGTACATATTATTTGTTTCTAAATACTAAATCTCAAAGCAGATTCCTAATATATAAAAACCTTACAGTCTTAATTTAAAAACACTTTTGCCTTCCTCTTTTAAGCCACTGCAAGGCAGAAATATTTCAACAAGTGGTTAAGGTAGTCAGCAATGAAGACCTTTATTATTATTATTATTATTATTATTTTCATTTTATCAAAGTATTTATTAAGGATCTGGTAAGTGTAAGAATATCCCAGTCAGGACAAGGCACTTTCAATAAGGAAGCTTACAATAAATGAATTAGTGAACTACTAAGCAGCAAAAAGGGATGCAAGTATTAAGACAAGTCATGTTTCACAACTTTTACTACATTTCCCCCAACTCCTGAAATCTATAGCTGCTCTTTATGTAGCTAGGCTACAAGCTACTGAAGAAAGAAGTATATTTCATACTGTGTATTATCTTCAGCATCCAGCACAGTGTCTTCTACAAATGACAAGCTCAGTAAATGTTGTTATTGATGGAAATTTGAGCATTTATAAACATAACCAAGGCTTATAAATAAAATATTAAAATATAAAATTAAAATATGGGACAGAAAGCTATTGATAACTCAACGTTGAAAGAATAAATGACCAGTGAAGTCATATAGACATGAATTTGAATCCTGTGTGACGCTGGCCAAGTTACAAACCCTTGCTGAAACCGTGTTTTTCATTTCTCCAAATAGAGATAAACAAGATCAACTTCATTGGGTTGCATGACAAAGCACAATGGAGTTAATTTATTTAAAGTGTACCAGTGCAGTGTTTAGTACACAGCAGATGCTCAATAACCCATAGCTATTTTATGCTCTCAGAAGGGAAAGTGCCACATTTATGTATAGGCTTAAACCTAAGAAAATCTTTTTTTTGTCAGTATTAGATAAAGGTACACTTCAGCTTAGCCAAGATTAGCCCAGGCTTAAGGATCCAAAAAAAGGCTACACAGTCTGCTTTGTTGAAGGACAAGTCAGATTCTGGCAAACAAAATCCAGAGGAATAAGAAGTAGTGAAGAATCCATTAACACTGTAGGGTACATACCACTTAGAACATTTCTTTGATCTTAGAGGTTGTCATGTTCTTGGCTAGTTTTTCAAAATCCTTTCCTTTGCCTCTCATCACTTCAGCCTTTTAAGGGTCAAGTTTCATTCACCTGGCTACCACCCAAGAGCGTGTTTCCAACAGGCATCAGGATGCTTGGGGCACATCTGGTATCTGGGCTTTGAGTTCTTCTACAAGTCTGCTATGAGTAATTATTTTCAGATTCTAGCCTTTCCTTATGCATCTGACGAAAGTCTAAAATGTTAACTGCCTCTTCCACTCAATGTGAATAACTTTATAAAGTGATGATTTACGGGCCTTTGACAAAGCTCAGAATGGCAAACATTGTCAACTAAAATAAATCTTGAACTAGATGAGATATAAATAGTAAATATGACTCAGAAAATACCCCAAATGTTAACATGCTTTCCACTTATTAAATATTTTCTCCTCATTTCCTCATTGTCTCTATTAATACATAGTATTTATTGTTGTACCATAACTTGAACATCTGATTCACTTCAACTTCACCCCAGTTGAAAGCACATTATTACTTAGTACGGTTTATTTGATTCATTTGTTGAAATAATTGTTTCCTCTGTTTATTCTCATTCCACATGTAGCCGACAGGTCAGTAAGAATAGAGATTAGCACAACGATTAAATTGTTTTCTAGTTATTTCCATTATCTTTCTGAATTAGAATGTCACATTATGGTTTTGTTACTTTATGTTAGTAGTTAAAATTCCACAAAACATTGGAACATAACCATATTTAAACATTAATCTGAAAATCTTACTTTAAAATTTTAATGAGGTTTTCCATTTATGTCTAAAGTTATACCTCAAATGAATTTTAGGATATGAGATATTTTAAATTTATTTAATATGGATGACAAACTACATTGCTATTTATTAATTTGACACTTGTAAAATTTAAGGTGATATAGTTTGATATTTTTCTTCTAAGAGCCTCATCTAATCTTTGTTGAAAGGGGCTGCCCAGTGTACTGTAGGATATCAGCATCCCTCTCCCCTGGCTGACAACCAAAAATGTCTTCAGACTGGTGTGTGTGTGCGTGTGTGTGTGTGTGTACGCGCGTGTGCGCAAGCGCACATGTTGGGAGAATTGCCCCTGGTTGAGAATTACTGTTTTAGAGTCCTGCAGCTCCCCTATCCAATATTCACTGGCAATTAATTGTTTTCTTCTGTCATGTAGGAAACAAATGGTATTATAAATTTATGATGGTTGTTTAACACTTGTAATTAAGTCAGATATATGTGTATTTTTCCTACAAATCTGGTTTCCTTGCTTCTATTCTTATTCCTCTGTATTCTATGTTCATTCTGTTATTCATTCCCTCACTTATTCAATAATGTTTACTGAGCACAGACTTTATGTCATGCATGATTCTAGGTGCTAGATATGTTAGTCACCAAAACTAGTAAGGTCCTTGTTCTCTTGGAGCTTATATTCTAGTGACATTTTTATTCTACACAGTAGAAAGGATGATCATTTAGAAATATTAATCAGGGCTGGGCATGGTGGTTCACACTTGTAATTCCTGAAATTTAGGAAGCTGAGGTGGGCAGATTGCTCGAGCCTTGGTATTTGAGATCAGCCTGGCAACATGGTAAAATGCTGTCTATACAAAAAATACAAAAAAAAAATCAGCCAAACATGGTGGTGTGTGCCTGTAGTTCTAGCTACTTCAAGGCCTGGCTAAGCCTTGAAGGAGTGCCCCAATACCCAGCCAATCTGCAAAGACTGGGAGAGTGTTTTTAATTTTTGGTTCTAGATATTTGATAAAATACCTGTCAAATCACTAGCTAACTGTTACTCTAGTAGAATAGACTTCAGTGAGCATACAGGACAAAAAAATCCAATCTTTATAAAAATAATTTAGCAAAGTCACTAAACAAACACCTAGAACCCACAACAAGCAACAACAATGAATTCTTGGGTAGGGGGACAGGAGACTCTCATTTCCAGTGATACCACAGTCTAATATTCAAAATATTCCATTTTCAAAAATAAAAAAATTACTAGTGTGTGAAGAAATAAGAAAGTATAACCTATTCGCAGGAAAAAAAGTTAATAAAAACTCCCTGAGGAAGCCCAGACATTGGACTTACTAGACAAGACTTTAAACCAACTATCTCCCTAACTGACCTAGCTCCATCTACTTCTTGTTCCTCAGCTTTTATCAGTCTATGCTTTGCTCAAGATTTCCGGTCACAGTGGCCATCTTGGTGAGCTTCAGATCATCAAGCGTATTCCTGCCTTGAGACATACTGTGTACTCTCTTCTGGAACATTCTATTTATTTGCATAGCTTACTCCATGTAGTCTGTCTCTGTTCATATTCCTCCTCAGAGGCACCTTTCCTGTCTACTTAATCTAAAATGGCTACGCCCATCCCAACTTCCTACAATTTCTGCTCCCTTTCATTGTTTATTTCATTACTCTCTGAAATTACTTTCATTCATTCATCCTTTGTTGATTGATTGATGATGGATTGATTTTATGTTCCCCTTACCAGAATGTAAGCTCCTTGGCAGCAGGTATTTTATTTGTATTTGTATCATTTACTGTGGATCACCCTTCTACGACAGTGAGCTAGGCTAAATAAATACTTAAATGAATAAAGATAATTTGTATGTGTTGAATAACAACAAAAAATATAAAAAGCTTATAAAATTCTTGTGAGAAGTCTCCCTCTGTTCAGAAATTTTGCTCACTAGCTATTTAGTAAATCTACTAGAGGAAATCTGTCCACTGGTGATGCTCCAAATGAAGTAAAAAAGCAAAATGTCTGATATCACCATCGCCTGCCATTTTCATCCGAGGGAAAATAATCACAGGAATGTTGGGAATAGTGGTGAGAAAACTTCTGTACCCTCCCCCTCCACCGCCCATAATCACTGGCCTGGTCAGGGACTGAGAGTGTGTTGGAGAGCTGCAGGCTAACCTCTACATGTAGTCCCCAAGACCAAGAAAGCTGGGCCAGTTTTGGTGGCAGTAGTGATAGAGGTGTCCTTAAGATTTCAAAGTAATACTATCTTTGGCAGAAGTTCAAAACAGGATGGGTAGTATAAAAATGCTGCCACGTATTGCCTTGAGTCAAAAAGAAAAAGAGGGACAGAAGATTGACTGGTCTTTGTTTCTTCTTGTTCAGCAACTTCTGAATCATTGCCCAGAGACAAGAGTCCTCCTTGATTCTGGCAAGTTCTAAAACAACCTGAGAGGAGAAATGATTCTGTAGAATTAAATTTATTAACAGCTGTGGGCTTATCTTATTAAGGATTAAACAGTTTTCATTCTGGATGAAAATCTTTCTAGAATCTATTATATACATCCTTTACTTTTTCCTTATATTAACTACTTTTCTTTCTTCCCAAATACACTATAATGAGCTCAGCAACAACTTCCGTGGCAGTAGGGCATCCTGATAAGAATGTTGCTTCTGAAGCCAGACAGCTTGGATTCAAAGCCTGGCTTTGTCACTCACCTGTTGGGCAGGTTAACATTCTATGCCTCAGTTTCTTTATCTGTAAATAGGGATAATATTAGTCCCCTCCTCATAGGTTCTTGTAAGGACTAAATGAATTAATACATGTCATATACTTAACACACTGCCTGGGACATACCACTGCTTGGAAAATGTTTGCTGCTGCTGCTACAAGTACTGTTACAATTATCACTACGGTAAGATTTTTTTTTTTTTTTTTTGCTGTCTTGAGCTCATTATAAAGATGTTAAACTATAATATGCTGCAACCTAGTGATACCTTCTTAAAGGACACAGCATTATTGGCTTTCACATAAAATGGTCCCAAACTGATTTGCTGGAGTGGTCTAATACGCTGTTTTATAGCTCTTGTATTTTCCTTTGTGAAGTCCCCTTTTTACTTCTCACTGTTGTTGGTCATTTTTCATATCTATATCAACCTCTTTCCATGCTTCTATTTTTGCGGGGGGCATAAAAAAGAGTTAATCAATTTGTTAGACATATGTGCTAAGTAAAAGCTAATATATTCTAAGCTAAGTTGAAAAAACTCTTTTATAGATAGAGAGAAGGAACTTGAGTCCACGGACATCTATTTGGGCTATTCATGTCTTTAGGCTATTTTATTTGTTCTCATTTCTTGCTTCTTAGATAAATATAAAAAGTTACTTTAACAGTAAGTTTCTGGGGTAATAGAAATAATAATGGTAATACATAAAGTTAAAATTAACAAACCTCTAATTGAGTTCAAATAAATATTCATTACAGTCCTATTACATGCTAGATACTGAAGGAACAAAAATGAATGATATAGCTCTGAACTACAAGCAGCTTGTAATTAAGAGGAGGAGATAAAGTATAAACAAACAATATCAAGGTAATATAGCTAGGGATACCAAAGATTTCAGACTAGGTACTAAGGGAGTCTAGGGGAAGGGCCCTTAGCCTAACCTGGAGATTCAGGGAAAGCTTCCTGAAAGAGGATCACGCCTGAACAGAGCTTGATGACAGCCAGGTGAAGAAAGGTTAGATGGGCTATTCTAAGCATGGGAACATAAGAAGTGATGAGACAGGAAGCAGCACAGTGCTTTCGTGAGAGTGTATGTAACTGTGGGTATAAATGGTACATAGTTTGACATTGCTGTGATTCCAAAATGAGATGGGAAATGGTGAGAAATGAAGCTAGGAGGTAGACTTTATAAGGATCAGACTCAAGGGGTCCTCAGATGTCATGCTGAGAAGCTTGAATATTACTTTTTAAGAGATGGGAAGCCATTAAGAACACTTCGAGAAAAGTAGCAATTTGTGGATTTTCACTTTAGATGTAAAACTTAGTAAGCAGTGTAAAAGACAGCAAAATTAAAAAGACTGTGGGAAGAGGGACCAGTTAGGTGGTTGTTGCAATTAACAAGCTAGAGATAGTAAGAACTGAAAGGAGACAAGGCAGTAGTGATGGTGTGGAAGAGAGGGTCCCAAATGTATGTGGAAGATAAAATTAGCAGGTCCTGGTGACTTAATTAGATGAGGTGGGGACAAAGTAGAGAGAAATCTAGGATGACCTTGAGTTACTAGAAAGATGATAATTCAATTAACTGAGAGAGAAATAGGTGGGTTTTGGACTTTGTTTTTTAATTTAGTTTCATTTTTTTTGGGGGGGTGGGCATAGGAAGGTAAAATACTGAGTTCAGGCTGGGACATATTAAGCTTGAGGTAATTATGAGAGAGGTCAGAACTGGAGATATTTTAGAGTAATTAACAATAGATAGAATCATAAAAGCAAAGAAGAGCAGAACAAGCGTGAGATAGTAAAAGAGAGAGAAAGGTAGATGGCCCATGAAAGAAACTTAGACTCCATATTAAGAGACACAGGGAGAGAACAGTGCCATGAACGCCAAAGCCATGTATGAGTTTCCGACGTAGCGGTCAGCAAAGTTAAACACACTCATAACAGCTACATTTTCTGAGCACTCACTACATGTCAGGCACTGTGCGGTTTGATATACCATATCTCATTTAATTTGTTATCCACATGGTGCAACGAATCTGAAGTTCAGAGAAGTCATGTAACTTACCCAAGGACATTGGGTAAACTGGCAGAACTGGGATCTGAACCCAGGTCTGCTGGATTACAAAATGTTCTCAACTCTGCTGAAGTAAAAGAACTTCTTTGGGATACAACTTATTATTATCATAAAGACTGCTATATACTGCTTTTCCAAGAAGCATATCTTTACACCTGTCTAGTAATCTCAAAAGAATATTTAATGTCTAATAAGATCATTATACATCTGATCACTTTATAACATCAAAATGAATTATTTCAGTGATACCTTTTAATGATCTTTTTATTTCAGAAATACTACACTGGTCAAAGTATGAGAACAGTGAGGTGTAATACAAGACAGTCCACTCGGCTGAGTAAAGCCCAGCTCCAATAAAGCTAAAAGGAAGATCCTCCTTGGACTAGTTAGTGTTCTTCACAGGAAAACTAAGTACCTTGGACTTAGATCTAAGTATACTCAGCTTTTTCACAAATTTACTATTGGTCCCAGGGAGAAGCAGAGAGAGTATGCATAATTTAGCACAAACTTACCACAAATGTGGAAGAGTTCATTAAATTATACATTCTATGGAAGGTTTATTTTAGATAATAAATGATTATCCATTGGAGAGAGAATAAGAAAGTCACATTTCTATTGTAAAAGTTGTAATTTTCCCACTTCCCACTAGAGGAAGCAATAGCATTACTCTTACCATTTGGTGGGTAAAAGACAGCATATTCTTCCAGTCCTAGTTTTCCTGTAAAAGAAAACCATAGAGGATTTCAATATGGTTAAGTAAATATATCTTTAAAAATCAATTTATTTTGTGAATGTACTAAAAATGGAATTTTAAAAACTATAAGCTGATATATCATTTCATGATATGGAATTAACTTAAAAATTTATTAGCCAATCGTTTGACATTTAGCAAACACTTTCATCAAATAAAGTTAACATGAACCTAAGTACAACAGAAGTGATACAAAACAATTGAAAGACCAAATGCTTTCAAGTTCCTTAAGCACTTATGTATTTATTATGCATAAAATTGTTTTGCTAATTATAAATAAGTCTAATATATTTATTAAAGCAAGTCTTAAGCTTTGTAATACTGTGTTTACATTTTTATGGAATGTGCTGAAAGTTAAAAATTAAATTACTAGCTGTATGGTGGTCATAATTTTCTGAATACCAAAACAGTTCACATGATTTGAGAATGGGGCTGAATATTTGAAATCAGAACTGTCCTAGAAAAGTAAAGTATATTCACAATAATCAAATATTTAAGAGCTTTAAAAAGTATCTTTCCTTCAAAACTCTCTCAAAGTTCTCAGTTTTTTCCACCCTCCACTGAATATCTTTAAATAGCTTTTATCTTGACAGTTTTACTAACAGTTTTGAGTTTATTGAAAAGTCACTTGCATTTTGGTACTGGGCCTTAAAGTAATATTTCTAGTTAAAAATGGTCTTTTTATTCTTATTAGGGGTGGTGGCAGAGATTAAATGAAGAATAAGAAGTGTGAGCAGTTCAGTTTAGGGTGGTGACAAAAAGGATTGATCTTGTGAGCAAGAAGAGAATGGAATAATAAAAAATAGGCAGGTAGGTAAGTAGATAAAATTGATTACTGGGCTAGGTGCTGAGAGGTAAACAGAATATATATGTATGTTTCTTCAACCATGTGGCTGTAGTCCAGAATAAACCATGAAACATTAAGCTATATTTGCTAACTTTTCTAGCCCAGCCTTTAAGTGTTTAGAAGTTCAGAGGAGAGAGAAATGGATGATGGGTTGGTGGACATGATGTAGAGGCTAGTTCTTCAAGGACCTATGATTTCTAAGGTGGTAGAGTGGGAAGCCTTCCATATGCAGGGACTATAGGGAGGCTAGAAGGAACACGGGGTATTGTAGAATAATCAGGGAAGCAAAGTTAGTTAGGTTAAGACAATGTCAACTGATCAAGGGCCTTAAAATCCTGACTGAGTTTAGAGGTGAGCTCAATAGATAATTAAGTTTACAATCAGTTTTTCAACAGATGACTTAGAGAAACAAACAAAAGGTTTACACAGATTTAATTTAGAAGCAATGGAACTAAGAAAACCTTAAGTTAGGGTAGTCCAACTCCAGCACAAGGTTATGTGGCCTCTCCTAGGGTAGAAGCTGGAGCAATCAGGCAGATAGTTCAGACATAAGAGATACAGGAGAAACAGTTTCTTTCTTCATGGAAACGGCAGAATGACCATACACAATGAAGTCTGAACTTTCAGTGTTGGGTGTTCACCATTTAATAATTATAAAAAAATGTTGGGAAGGGCATTCAGCTGAAGTTAATTCTATTTTCAGATGATGGCAGGATATTGATATTTTATAAGCAGCTAGTGACAAAAAGGAGAAAAAACCCTAAACTAGAAATTAGAGCGCTAAGAGCATATAAATTATATCGAAGTTTTAAGTGTGGTGGAGCATTTTGAGAGAAGAAATATAGATGGCTAAAAAGAAGTAGAAAAAGGAAATTTGTGTTATAAACTCATAATTAGAAAGAAAAGTCAACAGATATGGCACAAAAACAGCAATAAAGGGGAGCGCACACAGGGAAGACAGAAAGTAACTTGAAATGCTGCTTCTGGGAACCACTTTCCCATGATTTGTGATAAATTACTTGGGCATCGATTCGAGCTATAAAGGATGATTACAGTCATCTGAGAGAAATCTTAAGTAATTTATAATAGTTTGGCAACAACAATATCTCTAGAAAATAAAACAAACATTCTTGGCATGATTATATAAGTGTTAAATAATACTTTCTTAAAATGATTAAAAATTTACCTCTTATATATGATTTTGGTGGCGAGGCACTGTTGTATGCAAAGTGACTCAACACAGATGTATCCCGGGAAAAACAAAGTAATACCTGAATATAACATTGGAAAAAATAGCAATTAAGCACCATTATAAAACCAGGTAATACATTATTTCCTACTCAGCAGTCATCCTTCAAGTTCAAGTACCGTGCTTTGAGGTGGGAAGAGTGTCCTCTATCGGTACACCTTTGGTAAGCCTTACAGTGGGATGCCAAGTTCTTCCAAAGAATTCTCACTGTTTGCTACCTCAGAAAATGCAAGTTGCTAACTAACAGTTGATTCTTCTATTGTGTTTTCTATCTGGACAAGAGAAACACCTGGGGGAAATTTAACAGATGAAAAATGTATGGGGAAGACTCTGAGTAAGTATTGTGGCAGGGAGCAATTTGGGAAGTGCAGGAAAAGAACTTGACTCATGCTGGGATGCATCAGGCAGTTGGGCATGTCAGGGTGGGAGGGAAGGCAACTCGTGGTACTTAGAAGGGATGGCAGCAGCAATAGAACAAGTGGTTGCCTAATAAAGGGTTGAATCTAGTTGTCCTGACTAGTAGAGTAGAATTTGTCAACTACGTAGAGATGAAAATAGGCAGGGTATAAAGTCAGGATCAAGGATGTCCATTAGGAGGTACTAGATTGAGGACACCAGAATGGAATTTGGAAGCAGGAGCCCAAGACCCTGTAAGACCATTAGTGATAGGAAATCTGGGTTTGGTATTAGAAGACCTAGGATTCTAAAAAAAATTACCAAGATAAGAATTCAAGATGACTGGAAAGCCTGAACAGGGGCATAGAGTCAGGGCTGAACTAGCAGCAGGAGTGAAGGGAGAGGAAAAACTCTTTTGTGTCCAAGACACAAGAATGGAGACCCAGCTTTGGTAAAAGGATAGGTAATGGAAATTGGGCATCAGTCAGGTACAGTGGTGGAATGCATACCGACCACTGCCACTGCTTTATTTTTATTATATTTTAAGTGACTACATAAGTGGTACATGTTTATGATAAATTTAGGAATACAGATTATTGGCTGGGCGTGGTAGCTCATGTCTATAATTCCAGCACTTTGGGAGGCCAAGGCAGGAGGATCACTGAAGCCCAGGAGTTCAAGACCAGCCTAGGCAACATGGTGAAACCCCATCTCTATTTTTAAAAAATTGAAATTAATTTTTAAAATAAAGAAATACAGATAATCAAAAAAAGGGGGAAACAGCCATAATCCCATCAGTCTTAATAATTTGATGTATATCCTTTCAGACTGCTTTTTAACATACTCATATATATCATTTTTTTAAACCAAACAGGATTATATGTAGTTTTCTTTCACTATTATAAAATAAATGTTTCCTACACATTTCTATGTTGCAGAATATTCCACTGTATGAAAGAACAATAATTTATTTAACGTGCATTGTTGTTTAACATTTCATTATTTCCACCTTTCCCCAACTACAAACAATACTACAGTGAATTTCCTTATGACTAAATATGTACAACTTTAGTAATTTAAATTCCAAAAACTGGACCACCTGTCTGGTCAAATGCTTTGGGCATTTTTAATTGAATGATGCCTCTCCCAGTTTCTCTATTTACTTCTTCCTAACTCCTATGCGCCGTAAGATTTACCTACACATATTCAACCTGCAATGCCTTTTATTTACTTTTATCCCTCCTGTTTCATTCTGGATGACTTCCTCAGATTTTTTTCGTCAGTTCACTAATTCTCTTCTTCTGCCCCTACTATGCACCAAGCAATGTTCTAAGTTCCTTGTGTTTAGAATATATAAAAGGAAAGGAACAAACAAAATACCTCTTTTATGGAGTTTAATTATGATGGAGCAGAATGTATGTGTAACAAATAAAAAAATAATAAATAATTACATTATATTCTATATAAGGTTGCAAGTGCTATGGAAACAAGATAAAGGAAAACAGAGAAAGAGCAGCTGTCATTTTAAAGACACTGTTCAGAGTAGGCTTCCTTGAAAAGGCGTCAGCTAATCAAAGAGTTGAATGGAATTGAGAAACTTAGCATGTGAATACATGTGCAAGAGCATTCCAGGAGACTTATTAGGAGACTACTGACAGTGGTTTGCACTAAGATGGCAGCAGTGTATGCTGGATTTAGACACACCACCCAGAGATCCTCCGCTAGGAATAAAGGACATATTATAGCAGCTGGTAGAGCTGTAGCAAATAGTCCTCAGCAGCCAGCTCTTTTCATTGACTATCTCTGCTGAAGAGAGCTATTTTGCTCAAATATCAAGGTTACATCCTTTTCCTGAAATGGCCTATATATAATGAAGATGATGCAAGGGGAAAAGGCCTCAACTTCTCCCCAGCTCAGTATGGGTCTGACAGTTTATCCCACCTTCAGAACGCTCTGCAGCATTGGCTGAGGGTTTCATTTAAACTGTATTGCAGCTAGACTTTTCCTTATGCTCAATCCTTAATTCACTGTACTTCTACATGTGTTGATTCCAAGAGGACTCCCCAATAAACCTTTGGCATGCTCATCTCCATCTAAATTGACTTCTCTGAGAACCCATCATACAACACAGTGAAAGAGGAAAAAGTGGTCAGGTTCTAAATACATTGTGAAGGCAAGGCAAAAGGAATTATGGATAGATTGATGTAATATTTGAGAGAAAGACAGGAGTCAAGGAGAGTCAACATGTGGAAGTCGAAAGTAGAAGGATGTTTGATCTCAGCAGGTGGAACATCTTTAACTGAGACAGGGAAAGTGGTAGGCAGAACAGTTTTGGGAGTGAGATCATGAGTTCATTTTTCAACATGCTAAGTTTGAGATGTCTGCAAGACATCTAAATAGAAAAAATTGAATAGGTAATTGGAGATATGGGTATGGAGTACAGAAGAAAGGTTTAAACTGAAGATATAAATTTGGGAGTTATCAACATATAGATAATACTGAAAGCCACAAAGTAGGTGAGCTTGGTGAAATAATCAAGTGAGTGAGTGTAACTAGAGAAAAGAAGACCAAGAACTGAGACCTGAGGCATTCTAGGGTATTGGGGAAAAAAAAGAGAGAGAAGGAACCAGCCTATACAACTGAGGAGTGAGTAACCAACAGAGGTTGATTTACCATGATGCTCTGTGAGTGCTGGAAGTTGCTGGGAGATGCAGGGTGTACTAGGCAAGGAAAGTTAAGTCAGCTTGTAATCAGAAAGCATTTCTTTTTATGCATTTCTGGTAAACTGCTTAATAAGATCTCAGAAGAAAAAGACCTGAATTTCTACAGTTCTAATAATTTGTTACAAATTGTTCCTCATTCTAAACAAAAATACATGTTCTTATCTGGTTTTGTATTTGTAATATGATATTCTCTTTCTTAATCTACAAAAAACTTAAACAAATTTACAAGAAAAAAACAAACAACCCTATCAAAAAGTGGGTGAAGAATATGAACAAACATTTTTCAAAAGAAGACATTTATGAGGCCAACAAACATATGAAAAAATGCTCATCATCATTTAAAAAGCAAGTACCAAACACTGTGTATGGTGTTTATCATCACTGGTCATTAGAGAAATGCAAATCAAAACCACATTGACATTTCATCTCACGCCAGTTAGAATGGTGATCATTAAAAAATCAGGAGACAACAGATGCTGGAGAGGATGTGGAGAAATAGAAATGCTTTTACACTGTTGCTGGGAGTGTAAATTAGTTCAACCATTGTGGAAGACAGTGGGCGACTCCTCAAGGATCTAGAAATAGAAATACCATTTGACCCAGCAATTCCATTACTGGGTATATACCCAAAGGATTATAAATCATTCTATTATAAAGACACATGCACACATATGTTTACTGTGGCACTGTTTACAATAGCAAAGACTTGGAACCAACCCAAATGCCCATCAATGATAGACAGGATTAATAAAATGTGGCATATATACACCATGGAGTACTACGCAGCCATAAAACAGGAGGAGTTCATGTCCTTTGCAAGGACATGGATGAAGGTGGAAACCATGATTCTCATCAAACTGACACAAGAACAGAAAACCAAACACTGCATGTTCTCACTCATAAGTGGGTGTTGAACAATGAGAACACATGGACACAGGGAGGGGAATATCACATACTGGGGCCTGTTGGGGGATGGGGGAGGGGCTAGAGGAGGGATAGTAGGGAGTGGAGGATTGGGAGGGATAACATTAGGAGAAATACCTAATGTAGATAACAGGACGATGGATGGAGCAAACCACCATGGTGTATACTACATGTATACTATGTAATAAACCTGCACGATCTGCACATGTACCCCAAAACTTAAAGTATATACATTAAAAAAAGAAATACAAAATTAGATTCACAAAAAAAGAAGGCCCTCAAAATTGTATAAGCTTTAGATCCCCAAAATGCAGAATTTGCCACTGTTGACTAGTAAAAGAAGAGGAAAACTAAAAAGAATGTGGTGTCATGAACTTCATATGGAACCAAAAGAGAGCCCGCATAGCCAAGTCAATTCTAAGCAAAGAGAACACAGCAGGGGGCATCACACTACCAGATTTCAAACTATACTACAAGGCTACAGTAATCAAAACAGCATGGTACTGGTACCAAAACAGAGATATAGACCAATGGAACAAAACAGAGGCATCGGAGGCAACACAACTTATCTACAACCATACAATCTTTGATAAACCTGACAAAAACAAGCAATGGAAAAAGGATTCCCTGTTTAACAAATGGTGTTGGGAAAACTGGCTAGCCATGTGCAGAAAGCAGAAACTGGACCCCTTCCTGACACCTTACACTAAAATTAACTCCAGATGGATTAAAGACTTAAACATAAGACCTGGCACCATAAAAACCCTAGAAGGAAATCTAGGCAAAACCATCCAGGACATAGGAGTAGGCAAGGACTTCATGAACAAAACACCAAAAGCATTGGCAACAAAAGCCAAAATAGACAAATGGGACCTAATGAAACTCCACAGCTTCTTCACGGCAAAAGACACAGTCACTAGAGTGAATCGGCAACCAACAGAATGGAAAAAAATTTTTGCAGTTTACCCATTTGACAAAG